GCTCAGGAGAAATCTCGTGTCTCGTCAGATGTGGCTGGAAGAAATTGCTCTTTCCATAAAGTTTCAGATCTCTCCATTCCGCTGAAAGCTGACCTCGTGAGCGCCTCGAGTGTCGCAAGCTGCATCTGGAACTGACTGCGAGCTCGCGACGTTGTCAAGCCACGTGTAGACTCGAAATAGCTGCTACTGGAGAGCACGGGTCCAGCTGTCGCACACATTCGGAACGATACAAAGTTGTTTCAGGTGAGTGGGAAGCTTTACGTTCGCAGCAACGGCCGCTCCTAGCTTGGTTGTCTTAGTCATAAAGAACACACGACACTAATCTTGAGTGACATTCGACAATATTGTATGCTCGTGAAAGCGTTGGTATACTATCATATTCGCACTGTCCAAGCCATTTGACTCTTTCATTGTGTTGAGCTTCACTCGAACTGTCAGCCGGTGCGTACGCGACTGTCATCATGGCGTCTAGTGCAACCCACATTAACGATCTCCTCGACGACATCCTCCTCAGGATCTTATGGCCTCCCAAATAGTCCATCTCGTGCAGACCCGAGAGCGATGATTTGTGGTACTCAGTGGGGCACATCCCCACGTACCTTGTCGAGCACGCCACTCCAGAAGAGCCCTGGCGCAAGCGAAGGGATACTCCCATGCCGACCCTTCCTGCCTCTGCAGATACCGCTCAGAACCTTTTCATTGCATCCGTCTGTTGTCGCTGGCAGTGTCTCGTTCAGAGGCATGTCACAGCGCTGCTCGTCAAGGAGGATCGAACAAACTGTGCACATTTTGCCTCCCGCAGCCCACAGGTTTGCCCCGCGTTGACTTGCGTTGAACAATTCAGGTTTTGGGCTTTAAATTGTTGATTATAAAACTACATGGAAATCCCCCTATAGAGGAAAAGGGGGGGGGGGGGGGGGGGTCTTATATTGTTCACCCCTCAAAAGGGGGGTATAACGATTTCGAGGCTTAATAAACACTCTCCCCGTATTAGCTACCCGAGGGTGTTCTATTTTGGGGGGGTCTTATATCCGGGGGAATACAGTATTTACCTTGCCTACCCTATCAGTGGTGCACCTAGCCTACCCTTTCTCTTGCTTGAAATTCTTCTCTTATCTTTCTAGTGAAACCACTCTTTCCTCTTCCTGCCTTCCTAAGACTTCTTCCTCCCTCCTAAGAACCTAAGTTTGACGTTATCTTGGTTTGCCTCCTACTAAGGTGGCTTCATTTCATGCATGTGGGACAATTCTCATGGTTACGTATGCTGTGTACTGAAGAGTCAGGAGTACGACAAGGCTGTCCGCTGGCACCATATCTCTTCATCTGCGCAGCTGAACCATTAAGTCAGGAGGCAAAGAGGAGGAAACTGGGAGTAAAGAAAAGGGGGAAAGGAGAGCTGGCATACCTGGGTTACGCGGACGATACGACGTTACTACTCCAGGGCAAAGAACAACTTGGAAAGGCGCAGACGCTACTGGATGACTTCAGTGCCAAGTCCGGACTGCGGGTCAACCAAGGGAAGTCAACGGTGATTCCGCTGGGGAAGAACAGACTGCAACCACCACACACAGACACGAGTTTCAGCTGGGCAGAGAGAGACAAACCGGAGAGATTGCTTGGCATTTGGATCACAGCGGATGGAAGTGCGGAACCGACATGGGACAGAGCTTTGGTGCGAGTAAACACGATACTTCGCAATTGGGAGAAGCTGCATCTGACCACGTCGGCGAGAGTAACGGTCCTGAATGTCTACGTGATGCCGGTAATACTGTTCCAGGCGCAAATTTACCAGCCACCGAAGCAGATATGGAAGCGGATTTTGAAGCTGTGCCACAACTTCATCTCGAAAGGGTGTGCAGATGAGGAGAAACATTTCATCCTCTGGAGCGAGTTCTTGGCCCACCTGGGAAGGAAGGAGGGGGGGCTTGGGGTGATAAGTCCAACGGAGAGGATCAACAGTCAGGCATTACGCAACTTGGGGGCAATGCTGCTGGAAGAGAACCCGATGAAACAGTGGTTGATGGAAAAGGCGGCGAATATGCCTCTGGGATGGGCAACGCTACTGGCACACAAGGCTAACCTAGCGGAGTGGAAAGGCGGAGGAGAACGATGGCATGCGCTGGTGCCGTTAATATGGGAGAAACAGTTGCCGGAGCTGCCTGAACCTGCAGACAGGTGGGAAATGGAGAAGGAGCACCTGTGGTTCAGCAGATGGATCCACTACCAGGGTAATAGCCCATTTGGGAGACAAAAGGGCTCAGAATGCCTGAAAGGGATGGTGGTGGGAGACCTACTTCGAGAAGAATATGACGGCAGCAGGAGCGTGAAGGACCTATGGACGCTTACCAAACAGACGGGGAGGTCGTCAACGGCGAGGTGGGCGCTCGCGGCATGGAAAGCAGTCCCGGAGACCTGGAAAAATAAACTACTTGCAAGGGTGTCAGCGGCGGAAATCGCGGAGACCACCACCCTGGTTAGCGTGGGAAAGCCGACGGGAGGATGCCAGAGCTTCCTACAAGTGGTGCTGGCGGAAAATGAGGAGCTGATGTGTGAAAGAGGGACAGTGGACTGCAAAGGCAAAATCAAGCAGTTGGGGATAACGGCGCAGCCACCGGCACGATTAAGTGTATTATCACCGATGGTGGCGAGATGAGGCTATGTGCTGGGGCAAGTTGGTGACCCTGTGACGCGCTTGCGTGTCTCGTTCCTATGTGAGGAAGGCAAACCAACAGCTCAAAGGAAGTTAAGGCACTTGCTCAGGAAATCGACGGTGCAACCCAAGCAGCAGAAAAAATGGGAAGAACAGTGGGGAGGAAAGATCGACTGGGAGAAGGTCATTGCTAAGAGGGACTCACTGGCAATCCCCGCCAAAGCAAGAGAGGTACTACTGAGACTGCACAGTCACAACCTGCAAGTGGGCACTCGGCTTGCCTTCTTTGGATCGCGTGCATGCTGCCCGTATTGCAAGCAGGAGGAATCACCGACTCACTGCTTGATGAGCTGCCCGGTTGTCAATGGGGTTTGTGGCACGCTTTAGGACTCACTCCGTCTGATGAACCCAGCAAGGGCGGTGGGGACACTGGGAGAGCTGTTATTCGCTGCGGACAGCACGACAACAGGTTTCCCGGAGTCTACACTTATCGCGATCACGTTCAGACACATCTGGCTAGAGAGGTGTAACGCGGTCTTCCGGAAAGAAAGTTTCGAGCCTAAAAGAGTGGTCAGGAAAATTGGGGCAAATTTCAGGAGGCATGTCAGGATCTACAGTGAAGGGAGAGGGGGTACCGTATGGCCCCGGATATAAGCGCAGGCCTATTATAAGCGCATGCGCTTGTATCTGGAGCAATGCGCTTATGGCCGATCCTCATTTATAAGCGCACCCCCTGTAAAACCTTGATTTATTATAAGCGCACGTATAATTCTAAAATTTAAACCAGATTAAAACGGTAGCGATTTCAAATTTTGCAGTGAGGATACAACTATTCTCGCTTCGATTGACTTTCGAGGACCTCACATACTGCGCGTCCAGTCAGTATGAGCTGGCATTTCTGATAGTGACGTGTAAATTTTCCCCTGTGCGCCGGCAGAAAATCGCTCACGCGCGAATCTGAATTGCGACTCGCTACCACTTCGATTCGATTGAAATCACAAGAAGGAGATGTACAGTTTGGTGCCAATGAATTATAAATTTGCATTTGTTATTATATAAGCGCATGCGCTTATAAATCTGACTCAATTATAAGCGCACCCCCCCAAAATACACTGTTTTATTATAAGCGCAGGTGCGCTTATATCCGGGGTATTACGGTAAAAGGGCACATCGGGGGAGTGAAGGTGGAGGAGGATGGCATCATCTGACAGCTGGAGAGGCGGCAGCACTGGGCCGTATATGTGAACAGAGCGAGCAACTGACGTGGATCAGAGCCTTCAGCTCAATCTGGGAAAGTCCTAGAACCTTCTTCAAACCACCGTAAATGGCTGTTAGGAAGTTCAGCGCTAGCCTCAACAGGTTGGCCTGTGTCTTCCTCACTCACAGATACGACTGTGGATGTAATGCATTGCATAGTGTATTATGTCCCAAAAAAAAAAAAATTGCTGTGTACTGAAATGAAAGCACGTAAAGGGTAAGGAACAAGAATGCTAAGGGTATGCAGTGAGTGGAGAGTGAGTCACCTATCCCACCTTGGATGCATCCAACTACCTCTTCAGCATCCAAGCATTAATCTCGCAATTTATTTTTACTCTGAGTAGTCATAAGAAGTCTTAGCAATACACAACCCACGCATGTTGTCAAGACACTCAGTATCAATCAGCATAGCCTGTGATGGTCAAGCTATGAAGAATCGTGAGCTGGGAAATATCCCTTGGCAACTCTACCAGCTCCTTGCACCCATGCAGGTCAAGAGTCCTGAGCTGACCCAGCCGTCCAAAGTGACGAGGCAGGGAGGTGCAGTGCAGGTTCAGATCGTGTAGGTAGGAGAGCTGCATGAGAGAAGTCGGGAGCTCTGCAAGTGCCGAGCAGTTGGCCAAATTCAGCCGGCGCCTGGTTGATGTGAATCCGCTGCAAGACTGGAACATACTTCTCTGGAAAGCTCTTGAGGCGCCCAACACTTGCGATCTTGAGGGTGCGGAGGTTGGGGAACAACTCGAGGGGCAACGGCAGGTCCTCTGCCTCTCCCACCAACGACAGCTCCACGTGCTCCGTGCAGGGCAGAGCCATGCCCGGGACCAGCCCGCGCATGCAGCCCACACTTATGAGAGTCAACCTCCTCAGCCTCGGCAGTGAAGGGATTTCCAAAAACGGGGTGAGCCGCTGGTAGGTTCCCAGGGAGAGCATCTCGAGGGAATGGGGCAACGATGGCAAGAGTTGTGGCAGCTGAGGGAGCTTGGGAGGCCAACTCCTTGAGGCGTGAAAGGCTGCTCAAGGTGGTGGGGAAGGAGGAGAGGTTGCGGCAGGCGCGCACTTTGAGAAGCTCAAGTTCGACGAGGTCCGTGAGGGACTAGGGTATCTCCGTGATGTCTGAGAAGGGCTGGATAATTAACTCCCTCAGGCTGCTCAGATTCCCCAAATCCCCTGGCAGCTCAACTATCCCACACTCCACCAGCTCCAGCCTGGTCAGGGAGGTCAGGTGCGTGAAGGAGGATGGAAGCAACTGCTGCGGGAAACTTGAGCTCAGATGGAGCGTGTGAAGGTTAATGAGCCCACCAATGTGATCTGGAAGCATCGCGTATGGGCCCTTGAGAATGTAGAGGCACTGGAGGGCTGCCAGATCACCGAATGCTGCAGGGAAACTGAAAGAGTTGCCGCAGCGGAGCAGGTTGAAGGCCTCCAGGGAGGTGAGCTGGTGGAACGACGCTGGGAGGCCTCTGACCTGCACGTGCGACAGCGTCAACGCCTTCAGCGCGGGCAGCCATCCAAAACTCTCAGGCAGTGTGATGAGGCTGCAGGAGGAGATGGTCAGCTGTTGCAGGCAGCTGAGGGCAGTGAACTGCTTGGGCAGCTCCGACATCTTCTTGCACTCGCAGATGCTGAGGTCTCGAAGGCGTGGCAGCCGATCTCCTATGTCGTCAGGGAGGCGCTCCAACTCCTCGCAGCCTTTAAGAAGCGTCGCTCCAGATGGCTGAAAGACAGTCCTGGCGAGAACAGCGTGTCGAATGGTGGGCTGCACGGGTCAAACGCGAGCGCTTTTAGCGATGGCACCTGTGCAAAAGGGAGTTTGTTTATGCTTCCCCGTTGGTTCCGCGTCGCGTTGGACAAGGAGAGGGTGGTGAAGACAAGTCGCGAAGTCCAGATCGGCATCATCGGGAATGTCGAGGGCGAGTGCCGTGAGAGACGTCAACCGCGTGAATTCCAGGACCTGGAGAGGTGCGGCATGGGTGAGGCCGAGGGTGCGCAGGTGCGTGAGGTTGGGGAGGGACGTCGGGAGGTACTCGTACGAATGCAGGCGGTAGAGCGAGAGGTGCTGCAGCTGCGTGCAGCAACGCACTAAACCAGCTGTGGTTACCGAAAAGCCTTTCCCGCCCATCTGGTTCCACTGCTTCGTGATCCCTTTACCTATGTGCAGCGATACGAGCTTGGGGCACGCAACAGCGAGGTGAGTGAGGAAGGCGTCGTCTACCATCTCCGCGCTGTTATCGCCCAGATGCACGTGCGAGAGGTGAGGAAAGCACGCGATGACAGTGGTGAGATCTGCGAGCGGAACGACGCGGTTCTTCTTCACGAGAAGCATGGACACCTGCCGGCGCGCCAGGCGACGCAAGCCCGTGCAGACGGAGGCAAGAGATTGTAGGCCGGATCTGTGAGCGCGGGGGGTGCTGACAATGGATTACTAGTAGCAGCAAAGGTCGTTCTGTTGCTATTATCATTCCAACGCAGCAACATTGGTAGCAAGTAGCCATCGGAGGTGCTGAGCTCTTTGCCATAAGGGTTTTCACACGAGTACCTTGGCCCGGGCAAGCCGAACAGCTATGTATCAGCGTTGCTGTTTATGGGTTGGCGAGGAACGTAATGTTCTTTGGAGATCCAGAAGATTCTATTGAGCAAGCCGTCTGAAAGATCGTTAATGTATGCGCGATGCATGGTACCTAAATTAGCGGAAACCCTACTACGTCTTCGATGCTGCAGGTACTGTGAACGTGAACTACTGGTATTGTGTAGCAAGAAGTCGAGTTTGACGGATCTCTCGCTCTTCCTTCTACATTTTCCGCAACGACAGAAAGAAAGTGGGGTTTTGAGTTTTCCCGGAAAGCTTACTGTAGCTGTCCCTCTTTCGAGGGAATTTCATCTCAACTTGCGCACACTTTCCGCTGATCCGCTGTTGAGGCGATGAGTTATTGTGCTAACTTAGAACTGTGCTTCTCCGCACGTCACACAAGCACTGTTTTCATCCACTGTCTTCTGCCAGCAAGCACAAAACTAAACCTCTATCGCAAGGAGAGGAGAATCAAGGGAGCCCATCTGCAGGACAAGCAAAGCTGTGCTTGTTCTTCACTCCGCAGCAGGCTTCCGCACCCATAACCGCCTCCGCCCACAAAAGTGGGACCGTAGCGATCTTGACGAAGCATAACAGCAGGTAACGAAACGACGATCTGTGACTGTGATTGATTATTTGCTGTGGTTACAGTTTGTAAGCGAGACGAGACAACCTCGAAATTGACGGGAAGGAGGGGGTACCCGAGGCTGGAACTTTGGGGCGGATCGAGATAGCCTTGGGGCTGTGGAACCAAACTACTGGGGGTGGAATAGGGTGTGGTGTGGTCAGGGATGTTTTGTGGGGGATTTTGCCGTTTTGAATAGTAGGCTGGCGGAAGATGTGTGTAGTTGCGGAGAGGGGGGAGGGGAGTGTCAAAGAAAGCAGGCAGAAAGTTAGAACACGAAAGAGGGTTTGCACTAGCAGGCATTTGCGTACATGTAGGAAACCCTAAATTGGGCTGTACTCGCTATAGAGTACCCCACTGCAGGCTAGACAAATACAACATTCTGACACACCCCCATAGCCAAAGTGGGGTGTAATCAGCACAATAAGCAGGTAGAGCAATAGTTCACAATGATAAACAAAGCTAGAGGCTATCACAGAGGGCAAGTGAGGAGGAGGAGAGACTGTGGGGGCGAGAAGATGGGAGGCGACGGTTGAAGCTGCAGACACACTGTAGCGGCTGGCTCAATGGCTACCGAAGCAATTGCCCGGACTTCAGGAGTAACTGGCTCCGCGGCTACGCCGAGCGGCTGGAGCAACTGACCCACGGGCGAGTGGAGACTACCGGAGATTGTAGCCTCCGGACTACTGGCGCTGCGGACGACAAGACGGCTGCCTCCACTCAACCTCCCCCAGCTGTCCCACACCCCTTTCATGCACCCCCTGCTGTTCCCCTAGCACTGCTCACACGCCACCCCCCTAGTACCACTCCAACGACTCCCACACATCCAGCCCCCCTCAGCGGCAGCTGCAGCAGTGGGAGACGGAGGAGGAGGAGGAGGAGCAGGGGATGGCGCACACACCCGTCACCCCCATACTCGCCACCCCCAAACCCTAACACAGGTAGCACGGGGCGGGAGCAGGTGCACGCACGGCAGGGCAGGTGCGCGCGGGCCTGGCGCAGGCTGAACGGGCCACGCATGGGCCTAGCGCAGGCCGTACGGGCCGCGCGCGGGCTGTACGGGTCGCGCGCGGGCCTGGCGCAGGTCGTACGGGCCGCGCGCGAGCTGTACAGGCCGCGCGCGGGCCTGGCGCAGGTCGTACGGGCCGCGCGCAGGCTGTACGGGCCGCGCGCGGGTCCCAGGGGCGCTTCGCCGGGTGACGGGGGGCGACTCGCAGGTCCCCGGGGGCACGTCGACGAAAGACGGGGGGCGACGCGCTGGTCAACGGGGCAGGAAATCGCCGCGCGCCTCGGGGCGCACGGCGGGCAGAAAACCGCCATGCGCCCCGAGCGCATGGCGGGAAGAAAAAACGTCGCGCGCCACGGGGCGCGCGACAGACAGGACAGCAGCGGAAGCTAACGGTAGGCCCACAGGCCCGTAACCGCTCTGATAGCATGTCAAAGAAAGCAGGCAAAAAGTTAGAACACGAAAGAGGGTTTGCACTAGCAAGTAGTTGAGTACATATAGGAAACCCTAAATTGGGCTGTACTCGTTATAGAGTACCCCACTGCAGGCTAGACAAATACAAAATTATAACAGGGAGAATTGTTAGTAATGAGGGGAGGTTTCTCAAATGCGAAATATTATTACAAAAGAGTTGATGGATTTGAGCATCATCTGCGAGTCTCCGCAACCACCTTCTACCAATGAGTGGTTCTGTAAGGAAAATTTCTTTTTTATTATTTGCATCCCTGCTCAGCGCGTACACCACTGTTCCCGCCAACAACTCCCAACAGTGCGCTGTTACCACTTGCCTCGACCACTGTCCCCGCCACTGTTTACGACGCGACCCAACCTCGCGGTTCAGTTGGTAACCAGCACACCGGACCTCTGCCTCCACATTTCCCATCCTCGGCGCTAGGCCTGTAGCGCACCCCCAGTTCTCGCGTTACCGTTACCACGCTAGCTTCGCTATATATTCTTCACTCATGCCTTCGCTCAATGTACTGTTTTGCTTCGATAGTGCAATTCTCGCTTGCTCACTCAATTGCACTCGTAACACCAGGTATTCAGAGCCTACAATCTCTTCTCGGACCGCACCCACACCTTCGCTTTCCCACTATCTATTTTTTTTGGGGGGGTAGACATCTCTCAGCGTTCAGGCATCGCCGCTCAAAGTGCTCTCTCGAAAGCACGCACCCCACGACTAAGGCTCTCGCTAAGTTTGCCCGACACCCCCGCCATGGCCGAATTCAATCTCGCAACGTTGACACAGGAGCAGCTCGACCGGCTTGTGCGCCAACTCAAAGATTCGACTCTCAAAATCGCGGCACTCACGGCAGACCGCGACGTCGCCTGCCAGTAATCAACGGCGAATGCACCAGCACCAACACCGACACCTGCAAATGCATCTGCACAATCTGATGAGTCGATCATCATCTCGTCCGGCACACCGTCACAACAGGAAAGCGTAGGACAGCGCTCAAGCGCAGCTAGTGATGGCGCCACCCAGTCGATGCATGGCATGGAGAGGAATAGGGCCGCACCAAGCACAAACGGGCCCCGCAAAGCCTGTCGTCATGTCAAATATGTGGCGACAATGGGCAACAATGACATCATTGCACTGATGCCACTCAAACCGCAGCGCCCGCCCTGCTTCGATCCTAGCCAACGTGGAGGTCCAATGGTTCAATCGTGAGTCTTCCGATGAACGTCTTCTTCGACGCGAATTATGTCGAGTCGGACGCAACGAAGATACGATACGCTGTTTCGCAGCTACGTGGCCCCGCCATGGGCTGGTGGTGAGTCATCGTGACGTCGACACACGCCTACGAGCCGCCGTCGCAAGAGGAAGGGCCCACGGGTCCAGCCGTCACCTGGAGTTCGTTCAGCGAAACCGCCCAGTACAGCACGTGTTATGCGTGGTGCGCGGGGCTTCGGGCGCGCTTCGAGCCAATTGCGGCTTCAATTTCGGCGCGCCAGAAACTACACCAGCGGTTTTCTCGCTCTGTGCGAGCAAGTCGGCTACATGCACGAGGCGGCAGCTTGGGTCGGTTCAAGACTACACCAGCGGTTTTCTCGCTCTGTGCAAGCAAGTCGGCTACATGCACGAGGCAGAACGGGTGAACTGTAACGTCGGCGTACTAAAGTCGGGCATCTCGCACGAAATCATGCTTCGCGGGTTATCAAAGTTCAACGAAATCCTCGCGCTCACCGAGACGATCGACATTTTGCGCCATCCGAGACCGGGTTCCTACTACAGACATCGTCCGAGAGGGGCGTTTGAGCACGCCACCATACACGTCGTCGCGGCAAACGCAGCTGCTGTGCCATTTAAGGGGCGTTGCTTTGCTTACAATAGGCCGGGCCATCACAGGAGCGAATGCCCAGAGGAGCTGAGACGCCGCGGAGGAGAGCAGGGGAGGGAGTCTGGGAGGCAGGGGAATGCCAACAGTCAGTAGAGATCGGGCCCACTACTAACGAGACTCACTGCTCGCCCGAGTCACAGTACCGATTCACGCTATCGATCGGGCTCGGATGAATAAGGAGGGTAGAGCGACGGATTGCCCAATACGGATTTAGGGGAACATACAGGGGACAGCGGTGAAGATTTTTATAAATGGAGGAGCAAGTATCAGTTTAGTTTATACCGCAACTGCACGGAAACAACAACTTACGCTTAGCGGCTGTTTACCGGAGATCGCCGTCAAGGTGACGGCGGGCCACTGGCCATACGGGAGAAAGAGGAGAGGGTGAAAGTTCGCTGCGGGGAAAACGTCAGGTTTACACACGAAATGCTCGCGACGATACTGGACGGCACACATTTTACTGGGACGTGATTGGCTGCGACGCTACAACCCCCGAATTGACTGGACGATGGGTAGGTGCACAGTGCGACGTAGCGGTAACTGGGTCGAACTACCTCGCTGGCGGTCACCCGAGTCTTCAACAGTCCACGCCAACGTCATCACGATGAAATGGGCTGTCGCCGCTGGAGCTGACGTGTACGCACTGGATATCGCATTGATAGGGGAAGCAGGGCATCCGAGTGACTTTTAGAATGTGCTGGCAGTCATACCGCCCGAACTACGGGAACTACTGAAACGGTACCTGAGGATTTTCTCGGACGACTTACCGGAGGAGTTGCCACCT